AATTCCCTTCCTCACTCCCTTCGCCTCGTCCCCTCTCTTCCCACTTTCAGGACACTGCTGAAGATCTTTCTTTTCGACCGAGCCTTCGGTCACCCTCCTCCCCTTCCCCTTGGCTCGGCCCCGGGATTTGTTACTGTGAAGCACTCTGAGACGCCGTCCAGCATGGAGGGCGCTATAAAAATCCAAGTTGTTGTTATTGTTGATTGAGTGTTATCAGTAACAACGTTGGTAATTTAAGGATATCAAAATTCAGGGAACTTCTCTGAAGTGGAGTTAAGTTCCACGTTCACTGATGGTCGCTGTAACTGGGATTCAACACATGGTTGTTTTTATAACACACAACACAACATGATCACATTGTGTGTCTCTACCCATCCCCTGCACTCAGCTAACACTGACCTTCCCTGTGTGTCTCTGCCCACTTTCTGCTCTCAGCCAACATTGAGCATCGATACATGCTTCCACCACATCCAGTTGCTGACCAGGACCACCTTCCTCGACCTCCGCACAGTGCCCGCCTTCGTCCATCGCTGACCCCAACTGCAGCTGAAACCTCGTGCATGTGTTTGTCACCTCCTGCCTGGATTCCTGCAAAGCACTCCTCGCCGGTCTCCCCAGCGCCACCATTCAAAAGATCAGCTCACAGATCTGACCCCCAACAAACTCCGTCCCCACCTCTCACCGGCTCTGGCCCGGGCCCCACTGGCTCCTCATCACCAAACCGACCAACCTCAAGATCATCTCACTCTCGTGTTCAAACCCCTTCACTCCCTGGCACCTCCCTCCCCCTCCAACCTACGCACTCCCCAATCCATCACCCAGTCAGCGCCTACTGTCGACTGGCACCGCCCTCCTTCGCGTCCCTTGCACTCTCCGATCCACCATCAGAGGTCGCGCTTTCAGTCACTATGGCAGAAACCTCTGGAACACTCTCACTCAATGCCTCCGCGTTGCCCCCGTGCTCCCCTTTTTCAAATTCTAACTGAAAACTTTCCTTCTCGACTGTGCTTACAGCCACCTCCGCCCATCCCTCCCACCGGCTTGGAGTCAGGCTCCATCACTGTTAAGCTCGGAGACGCTGCCTACATGGAGGGCGCTATATAAGTGCAAGTTGTTGTTGTTTGTGGTTGAGGGCAGCTGAGCTGTGTAGTATGTCTGTGAATGTGAGTGTGTGTGTGTGTGTGTGTGGTTGCCTGTGTGTCTGTTTGTGTGTGTGATAGATTGCATGTTTGTATGTACATGTGTGAGTTTATGTATGTGTGTGTGTTTGTAAATGTGTGTATATGTCTGTACATATTATCAATGATACCTCCATATAGACTGATATATACAGTCTGCCTGCTGCCTGTCTGTGTGTGCGCACGTGTGTGTGTGTGTGCGCGCGTGTGTCATGGATTGAATTAGCAAATTATTATTTCATTTGAAGGTATTATTAACCCTGGAAAGTGATCTAACACCTGGGTTCCTACTTGCTCCCAGGTAAACAGAGGAGTGGTGTGAAATAAGGAAACTTGCCCAACTTTTCACCCTGTTCAGGGATAAAACCAGAGTCCTCTTGTGAGGCGAGTGCAGTAACCAATAAGCTACAGGACTCCACAACAAGAGCCGAGTGGGAAGACTCCCTGTCCCAGGGTCTGGTCTGTTGCTCCCAGTCCTGCTGAGCCAGGCTGGGCCGCTCTGTGGCAGACAGTGACTGTGGGCTCAGCCTGGCTCAGAAACCGGGGGGACAGAGAGAGAGAGAAAGATGCAGAGAGAGACACAGAGAGAAACAGAGAATGGCAGAGAGAGAGAAACAGAGAGAGACAGCAACAGAGACCTTCAGAGACAGAGATACCGAGCAACACAGTTGGAGAAAGAGATACAGAAATAAAGGGATACAGAGAGAGACAGAGAGAGAGAGTCTCACATCTCATCACAGCCAATGCTGACATCACAGCATCACACGTCACACGGAGAGATTGTTCATCCGTCCATTTTATTGTGATACCAACACAACACAAAACAAAATTACATTTGTATATAACACCTTTCACATCAGGAGGACATCCTAGGGCTTAAGTGTTAAATCACGAGGACAGGTTGCATAAACTTGGTCTCTATTCCAGTGAGTTTAGAAGGACGAGGGATGATCTAATTGAGGATTTTAAAATAACAGAGGCATTTGATAGTGTAGATACAGAGAAATTAGAATCCAGAACAAAAAGAGCATCATCTTAATATTAGAGTCGGGACATTTAAAAATTAGGGGCAGTTTTTCACCCAAAGACCAATGGGAACCTGGTACTCTCTCCCCCAAAAGGCTGTGGATTATGGTTGGATCCATTCACAGTGTCCAGACGGAGGTGTAGAGATGTTTGTCAAGTCGGGGTGTTAAGGGATACGGAGCAAAGGCTGGTAACTGGCGTTGAGGTACAGATCAGCCGTGATCTTATAGAATGGCCGAACAGGCTCGAGGGGCTGAATGGCCACCTCCTGTTTCTATGTTCTTACGTCACCTCCACTCTCCGGCCGGTAACCCCCGTATCCTATCTCTGATTGGTCACCCTCACGCTTGTCAGGGGGTCAGTGTCAGATTGGTGTTACGGCCAGGGCTGAAGTAAGGGAAGAGTTTCCCAGAGAATGTGTGGGTGAAAGTGAAGAGATGAGACATGTGGTCAGCGTTGTACAGCGACACCTGTCCTCCCGCATAGTCCAGGTACACGCCCAGCACCCGGGGGCTCACACTCAGGGAGAGGGGGGTAGGAGGTGAGGTTAGAGCTACATATTGGCCATTGTATAGCCCCACAGCCCAGACTCCAATCTCAGGTCCATGTGTGAAATACTCCTTCCTGGGCACAGACGCTCGGGCCACCCCCACTGTCCAGTGTGTGCTGTTCCCCACCCCCACCTCCCAGTAATGTCTCCCTGATATGAAGCCCTCAGACCCCAGGATACTGCAATAGTTACTAAACCTCTCCGGGGTGTCAGGAACCTGCTGTTCTCTGTCACTGACTCTCACTCGGGTCTGGTCCTCAGACAGGATGAGCCGGGGATGGGCTGTGTTAGGATCCAGAGTCACAGAGGCTGGAGCTGAAACAGAATGTTGACATGTTGGAGATCGTGTGGTGAACGGTTGACATTATATTTCAATGGTTCATTCAGTGAGGGTTGGATTCCTGCTTTGTGTGTCTCAGGTTACACGTGGGACACCACTAATATCTGGTCATGACCCGGTGTCCGGCCACCGCAGGGCTGAGGTGGGCTGAGCTCCCAATGATCTTATTTAGCATTCCCGACCGAGGGGATGAGGAGCGAGAACAAGACATTTACTCCACATCTATTCCCAGAGTCAGACTCCGATCACAGGAACACAGTAAGAGCCAGTGTTACCTGCAGTGATGCCCTTTAACAGGAGTTTCCACTCTCTGCTCTGCAGAGGCCCAATGAGGTCCCTCTCAGCCACATCAACAGACACTTTTGTGGGTTTCTTGATGTCAACACCGGACCTGGGCACAGATAAAGATTTGTTTAATTAAATTCAGACACAATATCGATGACTCAGGTGGAGATTTTCACCATCATCTCCATTGTGGAGTCCTGTTCCTTAGTGGTTAAAGCGCTCGCCTCACATGCCACAGGACTTTGGTTCGATTCCCGGGTAGGACAAAACATTTGGTAAGTTTTCTTACTTCACACCTCAGTACGTTCCTACTTACACGTAGTAAGTAAGAATCAAGTTGTTAGTCGATTGGCTGATCAATTTTCCTGGGGTAGTAGCCTCTTGATTACATTTTTGTTCGGGACACAGCTCTGCGCAATGGGCTGCAGTGATTCTCTCAGAAAATATACATCCAGTTTGTTCCCTTTACAGTATATTCTATGAAGTGATTAGCATCATCTCAAAGATGTGATAAAGCACTCTATCAAATGATAGGATTATTATTATCATCACAATTCCCTGTTGAATTTGAGGATAGATTGGACAGATACAATGTTCTGGGCTCTCACACACGTATGTTTCTCTCTGACTAATAACACTTTCTGTTACACAATTGGATTGGGGAATGTCACTAACAAGATGGACGTAAGGAAAGATTACAGACCTGTCAATGATGGATATGATATCCTGAAGAAGAAATAAAAACAAGGAGAGTTAGATTCAATCTTGCACACAGCCATCGAGATGAATTTGAACAGGTATTAGGCAGCTTAATGCTGTGATTCCTGATAACTCATCACTCCTCGGGAACAGGTCTCTGTCACAAGGTATCAGGAATGGCCAGTTAGGCATATGTATAAATCCATAAATAAATGAGGCCGGGATAGTGACAATGTGATGACGTCAGTGGTCCTGACAAGTTAAGTCATAGTCTTGTTATCAGCAATCGACTGTTTTAATGAATTAAAAATAAATTTCTGATCTGAGTCACAGTAGATTGTAGTAATTCAATCATTTCAGGTCACACACAATCCTTCCCCTTCGTCTCCACCACTTTCTAAATTCAGCTTTCAACACCCTCACCTGTCTGTCTGTCACACCAGCATTAACACACTTACTGTCTGTCGATCACACCAGACACACACCACCATTAACAGACTCGCTGTCTGTCTATCACACCAGACACACCAGTATTAAGACACTCATTGTCTGTCTATCACACCAGACAAACACCACCATTAACAGACTCACTGTCTGACTATCGCACCAGGCACACACCAGCATTAACGCACTCACTGTCTGTCTATCACACCAGACACACAGCCTATGCACCTTCAGGAATTCGGTGTTCTGGAGAGTCAGTCTTGTCTGGATTTCTGCTATTCTCTGGTTAACAGAAGTAATTTGCTTGGAAATGTCACTCTTATTGTTTTCTATTTGTCCTAAGATGGCCTCCTCCTGCTGTCTGAGTTTGGTGATCAGGTCTCGCTGCTCCTCAATCAGCAGCTGGTGACGTTTAGCAAATTCAGCGTCAATGTTCTTCCTCAGACGCTCGGCTTGTCTCTGTCGCAATAAACACAATGTTAACATTATCCGACTCAAGAACAGGGGCTCGGCCTGTCAGTCACGGTTACATTGCCCATGAACCTGGTGATATCCTACTGAGGGGGTGGGTAGCGAGGTCTCCTGAACTGAACTGGCTCTGAGGTGACCTGCCTGGCAATGAAATGCCGGTATCGAGCCCAGGCCTCTGTGACGGTCTCTTGTCCGTTTCTTGAGCCAGGCCGGATCACAGTATCCCAGGGCACTGCTGATAACAGCACAGCCCAGACTGGCTCATCGACAGGACCTGGATAGGCAGACGAGTCACTCTCGGAGCAAACCTACTCATCAACAACAATAACAACAATATTCCATTTGTTGAGCGCCTTTCACGTCGGGAGGACGTCTCATCTCCTGTTAACCCTGCGATATCAAGCTCTAACCTGTAGGGTGGTCCTGGCTGGAAACAGCGGGAAAGCTTGTCACACAGCAATATCAATGGAAGGCTAGATCAGAGCTAATATACAAACTGCTCACCTGGACTTCCATTTGAGTAGCTCCTTCTTCTCTCTGACACTGAGACATTTCACCCAACTGTTCCTGAAGGGTTTCCAGGGCTTTCTGCAGCTTTTGCTGAAACAAAGTGAATGTAAGTAAACAGGGAGAAGGGACAGAGTCATTATTACTGGTTTAGGATATTCCACTTGTGTGTCAGAGCTGTAATATTCCATTCCACTCGATCGATACAGTGAGATGGTGAGGCCACTCAGAACTTCTGAATTTACCTAAAATGCCATCAGCAAGTCATCCAACACCAGGGCTTGAACACACAACCTTCTGACCCAGAGGCCGGCGAGATTGCTGCTCAGTGACCGGCTGTACACAATACCAACTCTTTCCTAATATGTCAAATAGAGTGTAACAGCACATTGACAAAGCTTCATCTGCTCGACTAAACTTTAACTTGGTCATCAAACCAATCTTACATATTAAACACCTGGTTCAGTGGATCGCATTGTGGCGTCTGAGTCACGAAGTTGTGGGACATTGGTGTGTGCAAATCGGCAGCTGTGCTCACAGTCAGGTCACTTTAGGGCTCCATAAACCTGTATTCCCTTCAGTTTAGAAGGTTGAGGGCTGATCTGATTGCGGTGTTTAAAATAATAAGGGATTTCAATGGAGCAGCTACAGAGACAGTATTTCTTCTGGTGAAAGAATCCAGAACAAGGGGAATAATATTACAGTTAGAACTAGGCCTTCATCAGTGAAATCAGTGAGCATATTTTTTGACACAAAATTTTGTGGAAATCTGGAACTCTCTCCCCCCAAAAGTCAGTGGATTAAGACTGAGTTGGATAGACTTTTGTTATGTCAGGGTATCAAGGGATATAGGGCAAAGGTGGGGATTTACAGTTGAGGTACAGATCAGCCATGATCTAATAGAATGGCAAACAGGCTTCAAGGCCTGAATGGTCTCCTCCTGTGCCTATGTTCCTGTTGCTATGTTTACAGTGTATTCTTAAGCACTTTGAGACGTCCTCACAGCGCTCTATCAAATGTCTGTAATTATTATCAATTCCATACCTTGTAGGAGCTCAGCAGCTTCCTTAATGGGAATGACTGTGTGATCCTTGTGATCACGGGACATCGCACAGACCACACAGATCGCTCTTTGATCCATTTCACAAAACAGTTTCAGCTTCTCCTCATGCTCTTCACACTGGATTCCCACCTCTTCCAGCCTCGGATTCAGGCTCAGTCTCTGAACACTCTCCACAATGTTAGACAGAGTTCTGTTGGGCCGAACACCCCTCTGGGGAATCTGCTGCCTGCACTGCGGACAGGACACACTTTCTTGTCCTGTGCCCCAACACTGTAAAATACAGTCTCTGCAGAAGTTGTGGCCACAGTCTATAGTCACCGGTTCCGTGTAAAACTCCAGACAGATTGAACACGTGGCTTCATTTCTCAGGTTCTCCAGTTCCTGTTCAGACGCCATTTCACCCTCAGCTCTTTGCTCTGTTTGGGACTTTCACCTTTAGGACTTGGCTGTGTGGGTGGGGATCACAGACCAACTGCTGTTCAAAGGGACAGACACCTGAAGACAAAAGGAACACAGATGTTTAGCACATTCAGGCCATTCGTAAGGTCATGTCTCAGAATGTTTAATAATAATGATAATCCTTACATTTGATATAGCACTTTATCATGTCTTCAAGATGTCTAGAAGCGCTTCTTCTGTGAAGTGAATTTAATAACTACAATAGTGTAATGTTCATAATAATAAGAACCCAGTGCATATTATTTTGTCCCTGATCACATCTTCGAGACATCTCAAAGCGCTACACAGAATATCAAGTGAATTTACTATAATTCTTGTGGGCGAAACGTGGAAGCCAATTGCACACAGCAATGTTCCACAGCCAATCATGGATTGATTGACCAAATTTTATTTATTTGGTGAAATTAAAAAATACATATTTTGAAGGACTGTTAGTCCCGGAAAAGTGATCTACCAATTGACTGAAAGTCAGGTTCCAACTTACTGCTCTGTAAACAGAGTCGTGGAGCAAGAAAACTTGCCCAATGTTTCGCGCTCCTGGGAATCGATCGCGGCTCCTCATGAGCGCTCTAAACATTACCCTAAATGACCCGACAACAGTACAATTCAATTTCATTTTACCAATCAATAGCCAATGAATAAAAGTACACATAATATTCAATGAAAATCTTCATCAAATAAACTTGTGACTACGAACAGAGAGATTGAGAAGCGATCAGTTTCTCTTCTCGGATATCTCCGCAGTCTCAGTCGCTGACTTTTCTTTCTTCAACTTCATTTCATAAATCAAACTGATACACTCCATTTCTCTGTCCGTCAGTCACTGCTTTATCCGCTTCATATTGTGTGAATACTGTGTGTTCTCCAACACAAGAACATGTGGTAGTGAAGCAATATTCAAAGGGCCCGAGAGGTGGGGGGGGGGGGGGGCGAGGTGGGGGTCCGAGTGTGGGGGGGCCCGAGGGGAGGGGGGGACCGAGGGTGGGGGGCCGAGGGTGGGGGGCCGAGGGTGGGGGGGCCGAGGGGGGGGGGACCCGAGGGTGGGGGGGCCCGAGGGGGAGGACCCGAGGGGTGGGGGGGGGGGGGGGCGAAGGGAGGGGGGAGGGCCGAGCTCACAGCGCTGTGAAAGAGGGCACAGTGGGAGCCGCTGAGCCGCGCGGACACCGCCGCTCTCTGCGGTATTCTGAAGGGAAACGAGTGAACGGTGGATTGACTTCAACGGCACAACTTCCACATCCCGATCCTGTGGCCCCGGAAAGTCTGTGCAGTCGGTGCCAACTGACACGAGTCTTGTCTGTGTGTGCGATGGCGATCGCCGCGTCCCGGACAGTCACAGCTCTTCAGCCCTTATTGACCGGTCTTTCCCCGAAACCACTGGAGATCAGTTCTCTTCAGACACTTCAGAGAAGGGAGGAACAGGAGACGAGAGAGTGACGGTCGGATGGGGAGCGCGGGGCGGGGAAGAGGGGAGATGATTGACGTGGAAACGGGGCCTATCAGAGCGCCACCAGTCACATTGAGAACAGGGCGGACCAATGGATCGATCTGTCTGAGGAGGCGGGTGTTGGAGTTGACCAATGGGGAGCCAGTGGGCGGGAGGCAACTGACGGTTGGACAGAGAGCGCGAGGCGGTTAAGAGGAGAGATGATTGACGTGGAAACGGACCTCTGACAGCCAGTGTCTGATTGACAACTCGACTGAGCAATCGGAAGCTCCAACTGAGAGGCGGGTGTTCGTGGGGACAAATGGGGAGCGAGTGGGCGGGGAAAGAATGACGGTTGGGCGGAGAGCGCGAGGCGGTGGGGGGGGTGAGGTGATTGACGTGGAAACGGGGCTATGACAGCTCTGTATCTGATTCACAAAAGCTCTCACCAATCAGAAACGCTGATCGAATAGTCGGATGTTGTGAAAGGACCAATGGGGAGCGAGTGGGTGGGGAGAGAGTGACGGTTGGAGGAGGAGGAGAAGCGCGAACATGGCGGCGGCGGTGAGGAGTTGAGCAGTCGGGGTGGGAGCGGCCCCGAGAGGCGGGACAACTCGGCGCTGATGGCGGATCGGGTCAGTGAGAGACAGAGAGTGTGTGTGTGTGAGTGTGTAACGCCGTCTCCCCCCGTCACTGAATCCCAGTTTTCCTGCCGTTTGTCTGCAGTTTGTTTCTGGTGGGAAATGGCGTCGTGGCCGCACCTTCTCGAGCTGCTGGTGACCGGGAGCAGCTGTTTTGCAGAGAGAAAGAGAGAGAGAGATGGAGCACTGGTGGGCAGCGCCTCCCCGTCTGTCCCCCCGTCCCCCGCTGCTTGTTTCTCAGCCCTGAGGTGAGCGGTGTCTGAGGCTGTGGCCTTCTCCGTCTGATGGCTGTTGTTGGGGCGTCTGAGAAGATCTGACACTGAGGACACTATCCCGGGGAAAGGTCATGGTTTCCGACTCCATTACAACCTCTGTTGTGTTTAAACAATATTTAACTATTGCTTAATTGCTACATGTTCTTGTATTCGAGTACAGATAGTGTTTACACAATATTCAGCAGATAAAGCAGTGACGAATCTGCAGAGAGTTTGTGTATATTGGTTTGATTTATGAAATGAAATGAAGTCGAAGAAACAAAAGTCAGCGACTTAGACTGTGGAAACATCAGAGAAGAGAAACTGATCGCTTCTCAATCTCTCTGTTCGTAGTCACGACTTTATTTGCTTCAGATGTTCATTAAATGCTTTGTGTACTTTTATTCATTGGCTGTTGATTGATCAAATGAAGTTGAATTGTATTATTGTGGGGTCCTTTTGGGTAATGTTTTAGCACTTGTCAGAGGAGTTGGGTTCGATTCCCAGGAGGTCGAAACTTTGGGCAAGTTTCCTTACCCCATGACTCTGTTTACTGAGCAGTAAGTTGAAATCTGATTGTTAGTCAGTGGACAGATCACTTTTCTGGGACTAATAATCCTTTAAAAAATCCTTCAGTATTTTTCATAAACAAATGAAATTTGGTCAATCAATCCACGATTGCCTGTGGGACACTGCTGTGTGCAATTGTCTTCACGTTTTGCCAACAAAACACATGGTGAATTCACTTGATATTCTGTGTAGCGCTTTGAGACATCTCGAAGATATGATCAGGCACAAAATAATAAGCAAAGGTTATTACTATTATGATTATTACACTGTTGTAATCATTAAAATTCAATTAGAGAAGAAGGGCTTCTAGACATCTTGAAGACAGGATAAAGTGCTATATCAAAATGCAAGGATTATTATTATTAAACATTCTGAGACGTGACCTTACGAATGGCCTGAATGTGCTAAACATCTGTGTTCCTTTTGTCTTCAGGTGTCTGTCCCTTCAAACAGCAGTTGGTCTGTGATCCCCACCCACACAGCCACGTCCTGGTTTGGGGGAAAGTCCCAAACAGAGCAAAGAGCTGATGGTGAAATGGCGTCTGAACAGGAACTGGAGAACCTGAGAAATGAAGCCACGTGTTCAATCTGTCTGGAGTTTTATACGGATCCGGTGACTGTAGACTGTAGACTGTGGCCACAGCTTCTGCAGAACTGTATTTTACAGTGTTGGGGCACAGGACAAGAAAGTGTGTCCTCTCCGCAGTGCAGGCAGCAGATTCCCCAGAGGGGTGTTCGGCCCAACAGAACTCTGTCTAACATTGTGGAGAGTGTTCAGAGACTGAGCCTGAATCCGAGGCTGGAAGCGGTGGGAATCCAGTGTGAAGAGCATGAGGAGAAGCTGAAACTGTTTTGTGAAACGGATCAAAGAGCGATCTGTGTGGTCTGTGCGATGTCCCGTGATCACAAGGAACACACAGTCATTCCCATGAAGGAAGCTGCTGAGCTCCACAAGGTATGGAATTGATATTAATCCTGACATTTCACACCGCTTTGTGAGTATGTCTCAAAGTGCCTCAGAATACGCGATAAACATAGCAGCAGGAACATAGGCACAGAAGGAGACCATTCAGGGCTTGAAGCCTGTTTGCCATTCAGTTAGATCATGGCTAATCTGTACATCAACTATAAATCCCCATCTTTGCCCCATATCCCTTGATCCCTGACTAACAAAACTCTATCCACCTCAGTCTTAATCCACCGATTTTGGGGGCGAGAGTTCCAGATTTCTAACTAATATTATTCCCCTTCTTCTGAGTTCTGTCACCAGAAGAAATACTGTCTCTGTAGCTGCTCTATCAAAATCCTTTATTAATTTAAACACCTCAATCAGATCACCCCTCAACCTTTTAAACTCAAGGGAATACTGACCAGGTTTATGGAACCCTAAAGTGACCTGACTGTGAACACAGCTGCCTATTTGCACGCACCAATGTCCCACAAACTCCTGACTCAGACGCCACAATCTGATCCACTGAACCAGGTGTTTTATATGTAAGATTGGTTTGATGACCAAGCTAAAGTTTAGTCGAGCAGATGAAGCTTTGTCAATGTGCTGTTACACTCTATGTGACATATTAGGAAAGAGATGATATTGTGTACAGCCGGTCACTGAGCAGCAATCTCGCCGGCCTCTGGGTCAGAAGGTTGTGTGTTCAAGCCCTGGTGTTGGCTGACTTGCTGACGGCATGTTAGGTAAATCCAGAAGTTCTGAGCGGCCTCACCATCTGACTGTGTCGATCGAGTGGAATAGAATATTACAGCTCTGTCACACAAGTGGAATATCCTAAACCAGTAATAGTGACTCTGTCCCTTCTCCCTGTTTACTTACATTCACTTTGTTTCAGCAAAAGCTGCAGAAAGCCCTGGAACCCTTCACAAACAGTTGGATGAAATGTCTCGGTGTCAGAGAGAAGAAGGAGCTACTCAACTGGAAGTGAAGGTGAGGGGTTTGTATATCAGCTCTGATATAGCCCGTCCCATTGATATTGCTGTATGACAAACTTTCCCGCTGTTTCCAACCAGGACCACCCTACAGGTTAGGGCTTGATATCGCAGGGTTAACAGGAGATGAGTGGGTTTACTCACTGCCCACAGTGACTCGTCTGCCTATCCAGGTCCTGCCGATGAGCCAGGCTGGGCTGTGCCGTTATCAGCAGTGCCCTGGGATAGGGTGGACCGGCCTGGCTCAGGAACTGGACAAGAGACCGTCACAGAGGCCTGGCCTGATGCCGCCATTCCATTGCCAGGCAGGTCACCTTGGATTCAGTTCAGGAGACCTCGCTACCCTCCCACTCAGGATGATATCAGCAGGTTCATGGGCAATGTCACCGTGACTGACAGGCTGAGCCCCTGTTCTTGTGTTGGATAATGTTAACATTGTGTTTATTGTGACAGAGACAAGCCGAGCATTTGAGGAAGAACATCGACGCTGAATTTGCTAAACGTCACCAGCTGCTGACTGAGGAGCAGCGAGACCTGATCACCAAACTCAGACTGCAGGAGGAGGCCATCGTGGGCCAAATAGAAAACAATAAGAGCCACATTTCCAAGCAAATTACTTCTATTAATCAGAGAATAGCAGAAATCCAGAAAAGACTGACTCTGCAGAACACCGAATTCCTGAAGGGTGCATAGGCTGTGTGTCTGGTGGTGTGGATAGACAGACAGTGAGTGTGTTAATGCTGGTGTGTGTCTGTGTGATAGATAGACAGGTGAGGATGTTAAAGCTGAATTTTGAAAGAGATGTATACGAGGGGGAAGTATTTTGTGTGACCTTAAATGATTGAATTACTACAAACTGCTGTGACTGATCAGAAATTTAGTTTTAATTCATTGAAACAGTAGATTGCTGATGACACGACACTGACTTAACTTGTCACGACCCTGACGTCATCACGTTGTACTATCCCGGCCTCATTATTTATGGATGATACATATGCCTAACTGCCACTCCTGATACCTTGTCATTGAGACCTGTTGCCTCGGAGTGATGAGTTATCAGGAATCACAGCATTAAGCTGCCCAT